AGGGAAAGTCTCTTGGGGGAATTCAAGTTGATTTCGGACTGAGGTTACAGGTTACTAGGTACATTGTATATAAGGAGGGGTCCGGAATCAAAAGGAACAAGGGTAGGACGAAAGGAGACAAAGGGAGATGGAAAGAGGAACAACACCGAGGGTCAAGTGTTTGACTCAATGGTGTTTCCCAAAGGAGGAATGAAGGGCCAAGGCCCAAGGAGGAAGGAAGGAGGTTGGGAGTGGGGAATGGCTAGCTGACTGAATAGAAAGGAAGCAGCAGCCCAAATAGGAATGAGGGAGAATAGCGGAATTGAAATGGACAATGCAATAGTTGCAAAGTCCGGAGTAGGTCCGGAAAGTCCGAACTCGGAGGTTAAGCTCCGGAATATTGGCAAAGGTATTTAAATGGAATGAGCTAACCAATACAATGGGTATAAGCGGAGGTGGGGTCAAAGTCTGCGGTCAGAGCTAAGACCGGAGGTTCTGGAGACGAGACATGAACGAGATACCGGAGCGGAGGTCCGGAGTCGGGAGCATAGGTTTTGCATACTCATCTGGAAGGTGTCGAGGTTGGGGTCGGACCCGGAATGTTCCGGAGTTGGACCGAAGGTGGTGTCCGAGCCGGAGGTGGGATAACCTCTTGGGAGTCGGCAAGGAGAAAGTGATGGAAGGGAAGTAGGGCTCCGGAAGTCGGAGTTCGGAGTTCCAGGAGCCCGGAGCAGAGGTTGGGATTGTATGGATATGACAGTTTCCCTAAAAGACCACGTGCAAATTCCAACATAAAGCTCTTGGACATGAACACTACTGGGTGGAACTCCCCATCCAACTGGAGCTGGGAGAGGACTGCACCGGTTGCGAAGTTGGAGGCATTGCATTTGAGCCTGAAGTGGCCGGAGTCTGAGGGGAAGGAGAGGATGGGGTGTGTACTGGCAGGCCCAATGCAGGACAGTAGTCCCTGGGCACTTAGACTGAAGTGGAAAGATGAGAAGAAGGCTACTTCTTCAGTTCCCACTTCAGGTATGTTTATATACATGCGGCTTGGGTCACATGACAGGTGCCACATCACCCTTGCACGCAGCTATGACCACTTGGGTATCTCCATGGGAGATCCCAAGGGCATCCGGTGCAAGTGCATGTGCTGGGTGTGTCGTGGGCATGCTGTGGGTGGGTCAATGGTACATTGATACAAGGAAGGTTATCCATGTAAAATAAAGAGGAAATAAAGAGGAAGTAGAATAGGGAGAAAGTGAGGAAATGGAAAGGAAGAGAGGGGGAGGAAAAGAAGAAGAAAACAGGGGAGGAGTCGGTGGTGGGGCACCAGGTCAGGTGGGTGTGCCCTGACAGGAACCAGAGAAGCAACCTTCTGCACTATTGGGAGTGTAAATCCGAAGTGACATGTCACGCAAAACCCTCATCCTCCAACATCTTTGACAAGGTGTCAGGGCACACCCGCCTGACCTGGGCCCACCCAGGTCCACCTGGCCACACCTCACCTGCTACCCTGCTCCCCATCCTTTCCCTCCCTGCTCCCCTCCTCTTTCTTTCTTTCTTCTCTCTCTTTTCCCTTTTCTTTATTTCATTCTTCCCATCATTCCCCTCCTGTTTATTCCTTCTATTTACATGGACCACTTTCCTTTGCATCAATGTACTATTGACCTGCCCGACCCAGACTCCCTGGACGGCTCCCTGCTGTGCCCAGCATGCATGCCTGCACCAGATGCCCTTGGGATCCCCCATGGGGACACCCGGATGGCTGCGGCTGTCTCCGAGGATGACGTGGCATCTGTCATGTGACTCAAGCCGCATGTACATAAATGTACCTGAAGTGGGAACCGAAGAAGTAACCTTCTTCTCACCTTTTCCACTTCAGTCTGAGTGGCCAGGGACAGCTGTCCCATATCAGGCCTGCCAGCATGCACGCCCGATCTACCCCCTGCGAGGTCTTCAGTGCCGGGTGCTATACCTGGGCCCCCTCGACCCCGGACATGTCCCTGACACAAGGCCACCACCTCTTCTCGCTCCGACCCTGTTCCTTCCTCCTCCTCATTCAACTCCACTTCCAGTAGCAAGCCTCCAAAGGACAACAAAAAGTCCAAGGCCAGCTCCACTAAGCCGGATCTTTCATCAAAACTCGGAGACAATGGCAAGCTCACGCCACAAGAGCATAAGTGTCATCTCAACGAGAAACTTTGCATGTTCTGTGGTCAGTCTGGCCACATGGTCAAGGACTGCCCCAAGTCTTCTTCTCGCACATCTAAGGCCTGTATGGCCCAGACCGAGGAGCAAGGTTCCACTTCTGCAGAGGCAAAAAATTAGTCTGCACCCCCATGGACTCCACATGGACCGGGGGTTGCAATTCTTCCCTCCATGCGCTCAAAGAAGTATGCTTAAACACGCCTTCCATCTCCGACTTATCCTCCCTCCATATTCCTGTTTCTTTTTCTCTTTCTGATGGTCTATTTTCTCCTCTTAATGTTGACCCTTCAGTTGATGTTCTACCCATTGTAGATAGTGTTGCTGATGTACCACTCTCTCCTCCTCCACCTCTGACTACTTCTGTAGATCGTTCCACCTCTCTCCACTTCTCTCTCTGTCAGGGACAGCTCCGAAAGCGGCGAGGTCCCTGCACACAGGACTCAGTGGGATGAATAGCGGCTGTGCATAGCGGCAATCCCATCACAGGGTGAGTGTCCCTGACCACTTAGTCTGAAGTGGGAAGTTGAGAAGAAGGCTGCTTCTTCTGTTCCCACCCCAGGCACTATTATATACATGTGGCTAGGGTCACGTGGAGGAAGCCACGTCATCTCCACACACAGCCGCACCTCCCTGGGTGTCTCCACAGAAGATCCCGGAGGTGGCTGCTCAGTAGGTGGGAGTGTGTGCGGCGCGTTGTAACAGGGATTTGCTGGTGTACCCTAAACGAGCCAAATCCCGTGATTCTACCACCCTCAGCAAGCACCTCACATCCATCACATGTAGCCTATATCCCCTCACTGTCAGAGTCGGGATTCTTGTCGGAGTCGAAGTACTGTCAGAGATCTGGGATGCTGTCAGAGACTGGGAATATTGTTGGAGTCTGGCAGACTGTCAGAAGACAGATAGACGATGGATTGGGTTCTGTCTGAGTCGGGGTCGGAGATTGTGGCAGAGGTCTGTTGGAGCATGCGTGCGGATATGCGGGCGGAAATATGCGGCGCGTCCGGAAGTGCTGTTCAAGGTTAGCAGAGTGGGATCGCGGCCTCAGCGACTCAGGTGGAGCGCTGTGCCCTGAGCTTGACGTTTGGGGGAGATCCCGTATTTACGGATTGACACTCACAGCGGACTTCAAACAAGACTTGCGGGCGGAGCGGACCTGTAGGAGGAGCGTGGACTCCGCGAGCACGGACTCAGAGGGGGGGAAGCCCCTTTGCAGAAGAAGAGACTCAGAACAGACAGGGGGGTACTCTAGTTGATTTCAGACTAAGGTCCCCGAAAGTATTTACAGGATATAAATAGGCAGGAGGGAAACACAGAAGGACCGGTCAGTCCGGCACGGTCCGGCGCGGAAATAAGCGGGGATTGTCAAACTGAATGAAGGACAAGAGCCCAGGAAATGGGAGGCAATGAACTAAACAAAAGCGGATCAAGTGCCAATATTGACAGGTAATAAGAAGTGCATCAGCACATGGATCAAGTGCCAATATTGGCAAGTTAAGCGAATGAATGGATGAACAATATAGGCACTCGGCAAGGAATGAATGGTATGCTGCCGAGTGACAAGATGGCCAGAGAAAAGTGGAGGTCAGCGCGCGGCGCCGATACAAGTCCGCAAATAAGCGGGGTCGGTGCGGTGCCGACACAGGTCCGTGAAGGGACATGGAAATCAGCACGGTGCTGACAAGTCCGCAACAGAGGGTGGTCCATCAGTGCCGTCACAAACAAGGGCAGCGTGATGGCCAGCAAAGTCGGAGGGGAGTGTTGGCCTGACCACAGGGTGTGGAGGGCAACCAGGAGTGGCAGAGGTCCAGAGGGTGTGGAGGTGGGCAGAGGTACAGATGCAGGTGGAGGTCCGGATGCGGGCAGAAGTCCAGATGCGGGTGGAGGTCTGGATGCAGTGCATGGTTGATAGGGCAGGGGGCCAGACATCGGATTGGGGGCTGGTTAGATTGGGTTTCAGGTCGGCGGATTTGCCTATCGGCATTGATTCGCCGCTGATGGAGCCCCAGGATTTGTCGGTCATGACACTCACACTCTTTACACACATTTCCTATTTTTCCTAATTTTTCTGATTCCATTTCCAATGTCTAGAGGCCGATGTTTCCATTTTCTTATTGTCATGTGATATTCTTTCCTATTTTGTCTATCAGACTCTTCCGTGACCCGCTGTACAGTTTGGTAGAGAGTTATCAGCACTGGACCAATATACCCACTTCAGACCTGACTTGTAGTGAGATCCTTATCCCCCCCCTCTTTCCTGTTGCGAGTCTAGTTGGATAGACCCATTACAGCATGCGGTGATCAGGGGGGCAGGGTTAGGTATGTAGTGGTACATAGAGAAAGGGAAATCGACCGTAGAATAGAAATAGAAATAGAGAGTCTACAGTTTTTAGGACATGGATCCGTTCCCTGTTGATCAGCAGAGGGATCGGAGAAGCAGATGCAAAGGCGATGAAATAGTTGAGTCTCTACACTCCCTCAAAACAGTAGTCCCCAGCTCTCTACAATAGGGGGTTTCACAGTTAGCTAAACAGGTCTAAACAGCAGTCTAAACTCAAATTCTAAACTGATGTCAAAACTGAAACCGTGTGACAAAAATGGATAGTTTTGCCAGTTTAGCTGTTGGGGCTCACTCAGCCCAACTGGTCTAAACTGACTCTAGACTCATCTCACGACTATACTCCAAACTCGGACTTATCATCTTGTAAATTCCATCTGCTACTGTACAGTTACTAGTTGCAATACAGTAATACAGTTGTCTTCCCCATCACATCACATCCCTTCATCCTGTCCCCACACGCTTGGTCACTCCCATGCCACCAAGGGGCCGTAAATGTAAAAATGAAGATCCCCAGCCTGAGGACCAGAGGCAGGCACTGAAATGGGTACACAACAGCACTGAAACAAAACCCGCAATAGATGTGAAGGAAGAAAAGCTCAAGGTACTTCACAATTTGCATCTGAGCCGATGAGGACTGATGTTGTCAGGGATCGCTCGTCAGTCCGAGTCAAATATCGCCCGAAAACCTAGTCGTAGACAAAGCTGAGGTTCCAACCCTCAGCGGCACATAGAGCTATATACACGAGTGACATCAATCAATCGGAAGAGATAGGATCAAAGGAACTAAACAATGATCCGATAGAAAACAAAGTGAATAGAGATGAAGGAACACTCGGATCAGGGGGCAGAGTCGGATCAGGAGAAGGTGAGGGATTTACGATATATGAGGGCCGATGTGGCTACATGCGGTGATATAGTCTTACGCAATATCGATAGGGTAACAGAGAACCGCTTACGCTATGTCCCCTGACAGATGTACACCACAAGGTTCCGTGGGATGAAAATCCTGAGTGGACATGGCGGCTTGTCCAGTACCTTGAAGAACATGAAGATGTGCGTTTAAAACTCTTCAGTGACTCACAGAAGAAAGCTGCAGCCCAGAACAGGAAGAAAGTATGTAGCCAGTTTGGGTGCAGGTGTGCCAAATCTCAAGCTTATACTTATGTGATAACTAGGTTACAAATGGCAAGCCGAAAACTTACTACTATCCGATCCTTGCCGAAGCCATTTTTGACGTCAAAGATGAGCCTGTGCAAGAATCTTTTCTTGCTAACAAAGCCCATTATAGTACATCAGTAATGGGACGCATTGCAACGTGAGTGAGTGTATGCAGTTTTATAGCATTTTCCTCACAGCAACTGTTTAGGTTGGGGCAGCTGTACAGTAGACTAAAGAAATCTAAGCGTGTCACTGGAACAGGAGTCAAGCATGATGAGGGAAATGCTGATAATTTGCATGGTGAGTTCCCTGGTGGCTACGCGCTCTCCCCCACTCCACTGACATGACCTGAAAGAACAAATTCTAGATGAGTTTCCCTGGTTTGACATCCTTGATTCCTGGTGGGATGGCCAACCAAAGTACTCCGATGTGTTGATTTCAAACTCGTCAGCACCAGGAAAAGAATTGTCTGCTGCATATGAGAAGTTGTTGGATGAATCCACCGACTCTCCCGATCACCCCTCCTCCATTCTGCTCAGTGATAAGGGAGGTGGCAGCGAGGCCGCTCTAGATGGTCAAAGTGATCCTGAGGTATATTTTGTATCTCTGTTTGAATTACTGAAACAATTTTCGCAACTTTGTAGAAGGATGGAGCAGACCTCTCTTCTCACACTCCGATGAACCTCTCTTCACCATTCAGCTCTCCAACAATCCATACACCAACTCTTCCCCCCAAGTCCGACCCAGAACTCATTGACCAAAAACTGAAAATGGCCGAAATGCCATCACCACCATTGACACTTATTAACACACTCCAAAACCTTCCGTCCAGTTCCCCAGTCCCATCACATTCCCTTCAGCAAAAGAACTGCAAGTGTGACATCCTTGGTGAATTCCACCTAGCGACTAAGCATGATCAGGAGCAAGCAGCAGTTGAGGCTCAGTATGGACACCTTGAACGGATGGCATGGATTGCAGTGAAAAAGAGTAAACAGGAAGCAAAATATAGTCGGAAAATGGCAGAGATTGAGCTGCAAAGGCTCCAGCTCCAGCTACAACTCCAGGCAGTAAATTCACTGCTGCCTGGACCTTCAAATAATGTTTCTCTCATTTCTCATTCTCATACTAATAACGGGCTTCAGCTTGATTTGGGGACATACAACCCCTCAAACTCTCATGAAAGCCCCTTTTTGTAACTCATACCTCATGTCTAGAGCCAGCATACATGTGATTCACAAATACAGTTGCGCAAATAGCGCCTCTTGGACATGACAGTGCTTCCGTTGAGGTGACTCACCAGGAACTGCCGCTTCCCCATTCCCCCAAGTGAAACCACTGACTGGCTCACAATCATCCCCCTCATCCAGTTGATTGACCAGTCCATCATGAACCCACTCCCAGAAGTCAGCCTCTTCCCCTGCCCCCTCATACTGTGCAGCGAGGGTGTGAATAATAATGCATGTATGTACCCATGCCAGCGTGAGTGCATGATCACAGGCAGAGTTGATCTGCTGGTGGAGTCCCCACAATGACTGGAATCGGCCCTTGATGTAGCCAACAGCATGTTCTGATTGAATGCATACCTGAATGGCAGTAAGTAAACAACATCCAAGAGTATAACACATGATATACCCTAGATAAGTGGTAGTTGAATTGTCTATTAGCAGGATCATCAGAGTGTGGCCACTTGAATGGCACAACACACCAGGTGCTAGCTGGGTACGCTGAGTCAGCCCAGAGCCATTCACCATTCTGGAAAAGTTGATCAGACTCCTTGAATGCTTGTGACTCCTTAAATGCGGTAGAGTCGTGCATACTTCCAGGAGGCCCCAAGACATAGTCGATTATCCAGAGGTTTGGGAGTGTGACAAGCTGTCAAAAGAATGAGGAATAGAAGATAATGGATAGGAAATTCATACTGTCAGGCTCAGCGAGTAATTAGACTTCCGATCAAAAAACTGTTCACCATAGTGCCCCGGCTTCGAAAATAATGGTATTAGTGTTCCGTCCACCATACAGAAGCCAGGTCTCCATGTGTGGCATGAAACACTCTCCACCCAATCTGATGCTGCTCTCTTCTCTTCTGAAGATGGCCATCAGATAGCTTGATCATGAAGTGGTAGGAACACGGTGATAACACACCGAGTTGCCTTGACCACACTGCCTACACTACACCCGGCCCACTGGGCAACCTTCTCCACAGATGATGCATTTCCATAATGTCCGAAGCGATAGAGAGCAATAGCGAGTTGATGAGAAGTGGGCATTTGTTCTTGGTGAGATTCATGGGGTGACCTTTGATGAGAATGAGGAGGGCATCAAAAGTGTGAGGTGAGACACACAAGTTCAGACAGAAGCGATATGCATCATCAAACTTGTAGCAGTCCAACACAAGTCCAACCTGGCTGCGCTTAGGTACATTGTGAGGGAAAAGGCGGCGGGTGCTGAGGAGCTGCATGAGGAAGGTCCGAACATGGTAGGTGGAAAGGATGTAAGAACAATAAAGCCGCGATAGCACTGCATCAACAGCATCATCAGAGTCCAAAGACAAGGGCTCGGACAGAGATTGATGATGGGAGCCAGTGCTGGCTGCTGAGCTAGAAGAGCTGCTGCTGCTGCTAGAACTCGAACCATATGAGTCAGTGTCGCTCCCATTACTCATACTAGAATCAGAGTTATCACTTAAGTCTTCTGACATGTATATTTCGCATCGTCGCTGTTGGTACTGGATCCGGAGGTGCGCAGCATGGTCCAATGCTGCTGAGATGACATGCTGGCGCACAGACAAGGATGGCATCAACTTACATAAACCAAAGCACCTGACTTGTTAGACGGACTTTATGCAAAGCTTTGATGCTGGGATGGGAGCCAGTTTAGACCCTTAGTTTAGACCCTTCAACTGTGAACGCTCTGAAATCGTGTCTTAACTGTGACTTAAACCCGCTTCCAACCTTAGACCCCCGGGGTCTGGATTAGGCTCAGTTTAGTCACACAGTTTAGCCCAATCTAGCCAACCGTGAAACCCCCTAATGGAACAGTTGCCTCAAAGACATTGGCGGAGGCTATATGGACAGCAACTCAAACCCAACAAAGCCTGTCCTCGCTCCTTCCAACTCTCTAGTAGATATTCCTGGTATGGGACACAGTGACATTGCGTACAAATTTTTGGATGGCTGTGAGAGGACAGTCAGACAAGATGGTAGGACTGCTGGTCTTGTACCATGACCTAGTTTGGCCGGTGCAGTTTGGGTCCATTGTGATGTTGGAAGTGGTGATCATTTGAGTACACTAGTTGTTATGGGGATGGGGGGAAATCCCCATTCCTCAATCCGTTCTTATAGCAGGATGACGAACGTCGTATCTAGCCTGTACCATAACGGGATATGTAATCGATGAGTGATCCCAGTCTTGTATGGGAGTGGACGATTGAATTCCCATTGATCATGATTGGTGATGTAGTGAGCTATTAAGGAATTGATGGTAGGTAGTCGGAGACGTCAGGACAGATGGGTCAGCCACAGGTACTTGGTGCTCCTCAATGGAGCGTACTGTGTGTGAGGTCGCAACTTGTGAGGTGGGTGAGAACTTTGTATAACTGCCATCGGGTACTTGGCATTCACAGTGCGAACGTACCGGTATGTCAGGGCACACACCCTGATGAGCCCGGACCCGCTTCCACCTGCCGCACTTCCCGCATGCATGCTCCGCACACCGCATGCTCCGGGCCCGGTTCCTACCCCTTCATGTGACTTCCGGGTATCCCCAGAAGTTTTGCTGATATTGTGGCCACTGTGGGAAGAAGAGAAGTTAGCTTCCTTCTCATCTTCTTACCCACAGTAGGTTGTGCCCTGGATAGGGCTGGTTACACCACAGGCTGTGGACCATAGGGGAGGGTCATGGGGACCTGGGAGTCGTCCCCTGACACAGTAGCAGGTTGATATCATGAGCGTGCAATGAGGATTGACTAACGGGGCCTTCGGTGACTTGGCGTTCCCAAAGGGAACGTACTGTTGGTGGGGGAATATGATGACTGATGAAGGAGGGAACAGATGGTGGATGGGCAGCTACTTGGCATTCGCATAGCGAACGTGCCGGCATCATGGGAAAGTGGACCTCAGAGTATTCACGATCTCCAAGATTGTGATGTGATGTCGTCTGTTGAGCACTGGGGGGAGAGTGGAGTGATGAGGTCCCATAGGGTACAGATTCCATAGGATGATACACATGTCAAGAGTCTTCGACTCGTGACCTCAAGTTCTCATGGCGAGGACCGTTAGAGGACTCGACATAACCAGACTTATAAGACATGTTGAGAGTTGTACAGTCACACAGGTTCAGTTGAGTCACAGGAAGGGTTGTTACAGAAGATGACACACAAGACAGTTGTAGAGAGTAGTTGTTAGTTAGCGGGAACCGCCTTCGGTGGTTTCCGTACAAGACGCGTGACTATCTACAAATGGTAAGGTCGCGGGAAATCCCGCAAAACACAAGTAACCTCGGCCAGCACCAAAACCCCAATGGGGAAAGCTTTGCATGAGGGGGGGAAAGGGGTAGAACAAGTAAGGGGGGTAGG